GCTCCAAGCTCACCTGCAACCTTGTGAGTCCTGCACATACTGTAGTACGAGTACATAGTATAAACTAATACTATACAGTGTCTTCCAAAAAATAATCGAGTTGGGTGGTTTAAAAACTAGTGTCTCCCACTTGCAGAGTCAATTGTTAAACCATATTTAATGGATCCAGGAAGAGTCACCCAGACAATTTTTTTTCAATAAGTGCATAAGGCTAAAAAAAAAAAAAAAAAAAAAGCCCAATATGATAAGAGAGGCCCAATTGTGAAATAGAAGCCTACTCAGCTCAGCAAATATGTGAGCAACCAAGCACAGAGATTAGGTTAAGACAAACAGAATGGAGAGAGCAGGCAAAGCAAACAGACAAAGGTAGAGGAGAGCCGGGTTTAGGGAAAGCCTATTGATGTATTGAGTCAAAACATAAGGCATCTGCTGTGTCAGAACATCTTTGCAGTGAGGTGAAACACGACAAGGCAGTCCATTAAAGTTCAAGATGCTGAGAAAGGACAATCGCGGAACAAGACGAACTGTCAAAATACATCGGTCAGACGATGCTGTATCAAACCATGAATGGCATTCTCCCAAGGCAGGCCTATGGACTCCCGCATGAATAGCAATGAGTGGCTGAGTTTATTGAGGTGCTCTGAGGATCACGAAGTAAATGGCAGACGTCACAATCCTCGGCATGTTTCCTGATCAAATAAACTCCACCCCCCCCCCGAAAAAAAAAACAACAACTGAGAAAACCGTCCTTTTTGAGCTCTGTAAAAAGACTTTTCAGCTCAGGCAGCCTTTGTGAGCATTCTTCACTTCATTAAATTAGGTTGTGATGTTCTTTTAAATGTTATCTCAATTTTCAACATGGTTGAAGAAGGACTACAAATGACGAGTTGAATTGAAGCTTTATCCAACACACGCAGGAAGCTGTTCATTTTAAGGATTTGGTTCCAACATCTCCATTGCACTGTCACAGGAAAGCTGGAGCCTTTTCCGGCTGACTTATTGCAAGAAGGGGATACCACTCTGTAACTGTGCTGCCGTATATTTTGGCCTGCCACAATCGTGAGACACTGCAGGATTCCCATTATCATTTTGTGCACGGGATTTATCTTACATCAAGATTGCACATTAATTTGATGAAAAACGGTTTAAAAGATATGATTTTGATTATCCTAGCAATACATTATCACGGTTGTGCAGGTGAATTGCGAATTTAAAACTAGTTCTACCCAGGAATCCAAAGTTGATGAAGAAAGTGAAATGTCGCTGTGATGTGGGGAGCTTTTCGACCGTCAGTCCCTCTGCATAACTGTCACTGTTCTTGACATTAATTCCAGCCGCTGCAAATGTAATCACAGTGGTGGGGAGGAAATAAAACCTTAAAGGAGAAGGTCTGAAACGGCAGCACATTCTGTCTGAGCCTTGGCTAAAAAAAAAAAGTCAGCAATGAATCAAGTCTACGTTGTGAGAAACAAAGCTGCATGCGAATAGAGCAAAGAAACAGCAGCATGAAAAAAGGCTGTACTTGTTTTAAGACCTGCCTAAGTTTGACTACTTTGAAGGGTTGAGTGAGTTTTATCTCACGTTTGAATTTTTAACTTTCAATTGCAATTTTTATTGTTCATGGGAATTAGGGAGTCCGTGGTGTTCGTCACTTACGACTGCCGTATTGCTCTTTGCTCCTGTAATTCACTGTTGCCCCCCCAGGTAGAAGGTGTGTGTTACAGTCGAAACAGCTTGAGAAATATGAAAAATCACACTTGGAGCTAATGAGATCCACGGTGTAGTCTGCCATTTGTCAGCTGCGACACAATCTGCGACTGTGAGTGCGAATGCTTGTTTGTCTATTATGTGTGCCCTGCGAGTGGCTGGCAACCAGTTCAGGGTGTCCCTGCCTACAGCCTGAAGACAGCTGGGATCGGTCCAGCACCCCCCCCCCGACCCCCCCGCAACCCCTTGTGAGGATAAAGCGGATCGGAAAATGGATGGATGGATGGATAGATGGTCTTCTGTGCCCCCCCCCTTTGCAAAGATAAAAAAAAAAATGTGCCCCCTCCAGCATTTAAGTTTCTCATCCCCCTTTCTAGATATTTTGACCTCTGTCTCTGCATGTGTGCAATTGCTCTGGAGTCTGGCAGGCAACCATGGTCACCTCTTGCAGCTGTCACAGTTTTAGTAACCATTTCAGTGCTCCTGTTTGATAATCCTGTTACACCTCCTGACTGTCTGGGAGCCACCTCTCCCCATCGGTTGGCTTTGTTTTTGATCCCTTTCACCAGGTGGACCGTCAGTTTAACCGTGTGTTCGCAAGCCAATTATAGATGATCCTCATCCATTTGTGTACTTGCATGAAAATATGATCAGTTACGGCAGTGGCTTTGTTAATCGCAAGCTTAAATGCAAATGAGGTTCAAATATAGTTCACCCAACAACATTGTTTAGCGCCCGATAAATGAAAGACAGTTTAGCACCAAATGCTCCGAGTCTTTACGTGGCTGAACGTGAAGGAGAAGAGTCCAGATGTTTTCCTTAAAAGCCACCGGAATGATTCACTTTTAGCACCATTTGTTAAATATGCCTGTAGTTGTGTTTCTTCGTTTTTAAGCAAATTTGACCAATTCGATGTGTCACACTTTTCGGCAAGACTTTGTTGGAGGCGCTTTTCTGATCCAGCACGACTGTGCCCTGGTTCATAAGGATATGCTTGGGTAACTTCAATGAGGAAGAACTTTAATTTTTCACCCTAATTCATAGTCCACCCATCCATGCATTCATCCATTCCCCCAATGGGAATGGAAGGACATGCAAACTACCTTGGCAAAACTTTACATTATAGACTACAAAAAATAGACCAGAACTTGTTGTAGCTCCTGAGGGGCACTTGTTACCTTCTCCCTGGGTCTCATTTCTTCTTTTTTCGAGCCATGTGTCAATAATGAGCTCTCAGGATGTGTAATTTCAATCGGAAAAGGCGAAGGTGTTAGATGCGAGGGGAGATGAAGGGGATTTGGTAGTGGGGAAAAAAAGAGAAGAACTAAGGCAGATGGGACTTTGGGGGAGAAGAGGCACCTTTGACCAGCCGGCTGTTGTTTGCAAGGCAGCCGGTGTGTCGCGATGAGATGTATCAGCACGAATCACAGTAGCGACCGACCAATCTCTCTGACAACAACAACGTTGTGTGCATATTTATGTGTAAGCACAAGGCAAGGCTTTGATTTGCTGTCCCCTTCCTATGCTTCCCTGTGTATTATTTGTGTGCATGGGTGAGTCAATAGCCCCATGATTGCAGGAGCAATGTATATCGGATATGTGATTGTGGATCATTGTTCAAAACATTGGGCAGATTTAATATGAGGAATTGTCAGATGATTACGGTATCAAATGCTCCTCAGATTATACAGGTTTGTGCAATCTATTTTAATAGCACCTCTGAATTCGGAAAGAGTTTGTTCCACACGGTCCAAACAAACCCGTTAACCTGCGAATGTCAATGTAAAACCTGAAATACATTGACAATAAATTGAAATTGTTGGATTTGGATTTAGTCACATTATACCTTGAGGGTTTTTTTTTTCCTTCCTCGATATGAAGCGTTCAGATCCTTTCATGCTCTCTTCTCATACCAGGTTAATGGAAATCACATTGCTAAAATGCTTTTTCATACTCTCAGAAATAAAGTAGTTACGTCCTCCAAGCATAACAAAACAAGAAGCACATTTTTTTTCCACCAAAGTTAATTACTGAGGGCGATGTTCCCTTTGAGATGCGTGCGAGCAATTGTGCGCTGCTCTCACCCTCTCAGTGCACACGGTGACGCTGGCATGCACCACGCACACCCATTGCATTTCTCTGCTCATTTCTTCATTTCCAGCCTAGACGGGACACCACACCATTCCCGCTCCCCTTACAGTTTAAGGAGTGCGACCAAGGGCACACACTCAGTTGTTCTCCTATAGTTTATATAGTTTATGAATCCTTTAATGAGGCTCTTTCGTGCGTTTCAGAGGTCAGGTGATTAGAATTTTTTTTTAATGACACATTTTCCATTATTTATGAGTGTACAATGTAGGACCATATTGAGATCGATTGTATTGAGACTTAATTAATTAAAATGACCTGGGTGCTAAAAAAAATATAACAAACTAGGGCTCTTTTTTTGTGCTCACACATCTCTCTTCACTGATTTCTTCTATGTTGAAAATAAAGCTCCAAATGTGTTGACCGTTGCATAGTCACACCTGTTAAAAATAAAAATAACAAACTAGGGCTAATTTTTATTCATGCTCACAAATCTCTCTTCAATGATTTGTTGTATGTTTAAAACAGAGCTCCTTATTTTTAGTAAAAAAATGTTTCATGAACAAGGAAAAAATATAAATACCGGTACTCATATACGGTATACATAAATCGCTCCGGATCGTAAATACAATTTTTTGGGGAAATGTATTTTTACAAAAAACGAGACTAAGAACAGTAGAGCTCGAACTCGCACCCAAAAGCAGAAGTCATTCATTGTCGTCAACACGATTAGGCGACGGGTTTTTGGGTGCGAGTCCAAGCTCGAATTTTAATTAATGCAAACCAGCCAAGTATGAAAAAAAGTGTGTCTCATAGTCTGAAAAATACGTTATGTAGAAGACTACCACATGGCCAATGGAAGACCCCGTTAGATTTTTTTTTTTGCAGGTGAGGAAACTGATTCTCACGTTTAGCTGTTGCATGTTACATGAGAGTCAACTTTTTTGATGGCCAAATGGGCCAGTAACCCAAAGCAGCTCCAGAGACAAAAAGCTTGCTTGTGTGCAAGTTGTCATGTCACCCCCTATTTATTTGTCTTGTGTCTTAGGACTGTAGTAAGAACAATGTAAACCGACAACTTGCAAATATTTTTAATGAGCTTTTCAGACAGACATTGGGAGAACTTTACAGCCTTGGTGGAGGTCTTTGCTTTAAATGAATGTCATGCTAGAATTTCATTTGTAATGGATCTCTTGTCTTTGCAGCAGACCAGTTTTTGTGCCACACCGAGTCCATAGCAGACATTGTGATCCTGGTCGATGGCTCTTGGAGTATCGGTCGTCTCAACTTCCGGCTTGTTCGCATGTTCCTGGAAAACCTGGTCAACGCCTTTGATGTTGGCATTAATAAAACCAGGATTGGTACGTCGAGCATCACCTTTCCATGATATAGCGAATATAATCATTTGAAGTTTGTCAAAATGTCTTCATTACCTGCGATGAAACGTGCCGTGTGATTGTAGGTCTGGCTCAGTATAGCGGTGATCCCAGAATAGAGTGGCACCTCAATGCTTTCACGACAAAAGAAGTTGTTATCGATGCTGTCAAGAACCTTCCCTACAAAGGAGGAAACACCCTCACGGGTACTGTTTTATTGTTGGCATCTTTATTTTAGCCGTTACTATAGTAAAAATACAATTCATTGTGTCTTCGGTGGGTCTCGTATGCCTTTCATTTATACCTTACATAAACCATATATCTACAATCTTTTATACTTCCACCCTTGCTCTCGTTTTATATATGTTCCTCCTCTATCCTTTCTCTCTTTTCCTTTGTCCCTCCCCAGGGCTCGCACTGTCCTATATCTTGGAGAACTGTTTCAAGCCCGAGTCTGGTGCCCGTGTTGGTGTACCTAAGATCGGGATCCTCATTACTGATGGGAAGTCTCAGGATGATGTTATACCGCCTGCAGAAAGCCTGCAAAAAGCTGGGGTTGAGCTGTTTGCAATCGGTGAGATTGGGTGCACATTGAGATGACGGGAGCTGTGAGTTATCATGCCCAATGAAAGTGCCTATAGTTTGAATAGACCAATATTCCCGCGGGCATTGCTTCTTCTTTTGCAGGTGTAAAGAATGCTGATGAGAACGAGCTGCGCTCCATCGCCTCAGAGCCAGATGACTCTCATGTATATAACGTTGCCGACTTCAACGTTATGAGCTCCATTGTTGAAGGACTGACGAGAACAGTGTGTGAGCAAGTGGAGCAGCAAGAAAAGGATATTAAGGAACGTAAGTGGACAATGACGCACAAGTAAATTGCAGGCTAACTGACTGGAAGGACTACATGGACCATGGAGTAATTGTGCCATTTGCACCCAATGAAAATAAAAGTGCATTGCAATAAATTCTATTTTTGAAAACAGTAGAAAAGTTCATTTATTTCAGTCACTTAATTCCAGAAGAGAAACTCATACCATGCCGTTTGTGGAATCATGAAACACTCAGCAGGCCGATACTACCTCACTTAAATATTAAAAAAATATATATATATATATATTAGTTAATTGAACATACAATACAACAACAATTGACAAAAGGCAAACAAAATTACAAAAGGAGAAACAAAAATAAAAAGTAAATAAAACAAACATCATCATCGTTATATGCTCAAAGGAGTAGGAAGAAGTATACAACTTATCTAGTCCTACCCCTTGTTGTGTAATAATATAAATAGATCATTTTTCAATGCAAAAGAAAAGGAAGAGATCTACCTCTCATCAAGTACTTTTACCCTTATGTGTACTGTACTTATCTATTTATACACCCTTCTGTTTGTATATACATACACATATATATATACATACATACATACATACA